AACCGGCTAGGGCTTAAGTTAATTTTCAATGTCAACATCAAGAGTTCAAGGAGGGGCAGGGCAATGTCTGTCTGAGGGGATGGATCTCTCTCTCCCTCTCTCACTGATTGGTTCTTTCATTGTTTGATTAAGGCTAACATTGCTTAGTTTGAGTTTAACTGCTATTTAAAGACTGCAAAGCTTTCTTGATGTGCAAGCTTAAACCAAATAAGTATGGAATTTTGTACTCTCACATAAGATTCCATTATTAAGTATGTAGACCTTTTACCTGATGTAAGCCATTAATGTGTATTTTGCTGATATGGAAAAACTTTTAGAGGAATCATAGCTAGTGTTCATCTTCAGTCCTTGTCCTTTCCCTATATATCCAGTTCCCAAGCCAGGTGTTTTTGGAGATAACCTGTTGCTCTGAGGAGGCAGGAATCTTCACCTGGGTTCTGTAGCCAGAGTTGGGAAATAATTTGAAACAATAGCGGGCTCATCCATCTTTTATCTGAACTGTTAGGAACTGCTGCTTCAGTGCCCTGATTAAAATGATCGTTTTAATGGAGAGCAGGCCAAATAGTACCTCTTATCATCTTTTCCTGTGTTGAATGAATTGCTTTTCAGGCATCAAGGATTTATTTATAGCAGTGTCTTATATTTTGCAGCCAATTGTAGAATAATCATTTCATTCTGTCGTGGTTATCATAGCCAAGATCTCTTACTGTAAAGGAATTTGGAAAGTCTCAACTTTGGAATATGTAATACATCTCTCTTATTAGGGGTTCAAAAAGGAATTGGAGAAGAAAGGATTCGGGAATTGGGATTACATACATACTACTTCCTGATGAAATGTGGACTTTTATCCCAAGTCCAATGTTAGCATTCTGGAGTCAGGAAGTGCGTGTCCCACCCCAAAATCCATATATAAAATGTGTCTTAAAGGAGATAGTAGGCATTAATTTTTATATTTTCCTGAGCATCCCAAGAATAGTTCTGTAATTTTTCTCTGAGATGAAGAGGATACATGTAAATTAGTTTCAGTTGAGACTCTGCTAACCTTTTTCCCCCTCTTTGTGTAATCTAGCAGTTGACCTTATCATTCTATAATTTATACATTTCTAGCTTACTTGAGTTTTCTGTTTTCTCTTCCCTTTTTATGTCACAATGAGAGTTTATATATTAGGTGTAATAAATGGTTGTGGGGTGGGCGCACACTTAGGAGTGCCTTCTTTATCTGCCATTAATACTTAATCACTCAACTGTGGGATTGAGGAAGGTGATATTGGGGCCTGAACAGACCCCACATTTGAGCAGCATCCTACTCTGGGAAGTACCGGTAGCTTTAGAAAAAGGCCAAAGAGTCTACATCTCTACAGTCATATGCTGCATAACAGTTTCAGTCATTGATGGGCTGCATATACAAAGTCTAGGTGCATAGTGGGCTATACCGTCTAGGTTTGTGTAAGTGCCCTCTGTGATGCTCACACAACAGCGAAATTGCCTAACAACACATTTCTCAGAACGTATCCCCGTTGTTAATTAGCACATGACTGTGTTTAGAGTTGTACAGTAAGCATATTCTTAACAGTAGTATGGGCAAAATGATGTCATTTATTATAGGCCAGTGTTTCCAAAGGAACAATAGCTAAGCTAGCTTTTTATTCTATTCTGTACACACTGTGTTCCCACAGAGCACCGAAAACCAGAAGGTAGTAGTAAATTTTGAAATGCAGGATTAAAAATGGAATTGGAACTGTGTTAAGAAAACTAAGGAGCTGTGGTTTGGGTCTAGAAATAGTAAAAATTCTGGCAGATTACTTACGCAAACCTAATAGAAATCCAGGTGATTGCAAACAGTGTTATTTCCTTCAAGACACAAGCAAGGATTTTCCTTTCCCCCAGATTGCTTAATGAATAGCTTACTTGGAAAGAGGGGCAGGGTGACTATATGTCTAAACAAATGAAGGAAATTTTTCCACACTCTTCGTAAGTAGGTTAACAAGATTTCTAAAGTCAGTTTATCTCGAACAGTATTCATATTACCATTTAATTGTTCTTAATTTGTGATGTGTAGAAAATACAAGGAAACTCTAAGTAAAAAAAAAAATTACAGGCTATTTTGTACTTTATATTCTTTGTTGGGAATTAATTCAGTTCCTTCTCATATTTTTAAATAAAAAGTCCTCTCGCCCTCGCTGGTTTGACTCAGTGGGCAGAGTGTTGGCCTGTGGACTCAAGGGTCCCAGGTTCGATTCCAATTGGGGACACATGCCCGGGTTGTGGGCTCCATCCTCATCGAGGGGTATGCAGGAGGCAGTTGATCAGTGATTCTCTCTCATCATTGGTGTTTCTGTTTCTCTCTCCCTCTCCCTTCCTCTCTGAAATCAATAAAAAATATATATTTTTAAAAAGTCTTCTCTGTGTCTTGTTTATCTATGGTCCCTCTTTGAAAACATACAGCCTTCTCTTCCAAAGGATGGCCCCTCAACCCTGTCTTTCCTGAGTGTAGGATAAATCCAGCCCACACTCTTCCATAAGCTACATTTTTTGCAGTCCTTCAAGCCTCTGTCCTCTTCTTTTACCAATACTTCAGCCTCAGAATTATCTCTGTGTTTTCTGGACATGATGTGTCTTTCATGTAACAGGGTCTTTGCACACACTCCTCTCCCTTCAACCACTCTTCCATGTGCAGTTTTCTTTAAGAAGATACAAGATATATTCTTGGCAAAGCCTTTCCTGATTGCATGAGAAGTAGTCATTCTTTCCTCAGGAGTTTCATAATTCTGTTATATCATGTATAATAATTGTTTGTACCCTTCCCTACTGTGAGCCTCTCAAGTGCTGGGAAGGAGTCAAATTAATCTTTATCCTTAGTACAGTGCTTACTATAAATAGATGTTCATTAAATGATAGGCTGATAAATGTATGGACTAATGGACAAGTGGGTAGGTGGACAAATGGATGGATACACTCAAGCCAAGAGCATGAAGCACCTTGTAAATAAACATTTAACTAGTTAGGTACCATACTGACAGAGGAAATTGGGACATAATTTTTATGATTTCTAGATAAAGTAACCATATAATTTAGCATCCAAGCTGGGACATTTTTGAAAGTACAGATAGCAGGAGGGATTTGCTATGAACAGTTATGCCATAATTATAGGTGTGAGCCAGGAATCTCTCAAACCTGAAAGAGATGATCACTCTACTAAGTTACCAGGGAAAAGAACATTCTAGACAGGAGAACAGGTTTACGTAGGTGAAAAGTGAACTGTATTATTTTCCTGTCTGCACCTCCAATTGCATGTGACTCTAAAGCCGTTAATTTATGTCACAGCTCTCATAGGTAGGTAACCATGACCATTAGGTACCAGCTTTCATTTGTGTTAATAATGTGGAGCTTTGTCATGGAAACAATTTGTAGACTGTTGCCTCAGAATAGAAAATTATTGAGGAAGACTGCTTATTTAGAAAGTGTCCCTTCTGAACCTAATCTACCTGCCGTTAAACTTCTCTAAAGCCTAGCCTACTTTCTAGTGTTTATCTCCCCCCTTATATTACTCCATTGCCAGTGCCTTACACCTAATATATGCTACATAAATATTTTCAATGATCTGTTTACTGTTAAAGGAAAGGGCCTTGTGTTTTCTGTCTCCAAGCTTTTTTCTGCTCTCTGCCTCTCTTCCCAGCCTCTTGAAATCCTCCTTTTCCTGTTTTTTAAAACATGTTAACTTTATTATATATTTTTTTAAGTCCTCACCTGAAAACATGCTTTTATTGGTTTTAGAAAGAGAGGAAGGGAGAGAGAGAGAAACATCAATCAGCTGCCTCCTGCAGGTGCCTGACGGGATAGTACCCGCAACCTGGGTGTGTGACCTAACCGGAAGTCGAACCTACGACGTTTCGGTGTACAGGATGGTGCTCTAAACAACTGAGCTACCTGGCCAGGGCCCGCCTTTTCCTTTGTAAATTATACTCTTTGCTAATGCTTTCTCAGTTTAGTCTGACTCACAACATTCTCTGAGCTCTTGGTGTCTGCACATTCCTTTTTTGGGGGGGAGCGGGGGGCAATTATAGTGCACTTCTTTGTGGCATCTCTATTACTCCATCATTTTAAATAGAATAATTATAATAAGGTAAACATCAACCACAAATTCTCAACCAATTTCCTAAAAAGACAAACACAGTAAAATGCCTATGTATAAATAACAAACTATCACATAAGGATGTAATATGCTTAAAACATAACTTCCAGATCACAGTAATTAATATGGTTTTTAAAAAACAGTTGTTTTGTGTGTAGTATCATGCCTCTCTTACCACCCACACTGGAGACCCAAGTATACCCTTTGACATTCTGATTTTGAAAATATTTCTGTGATTTTGATATTTTATCAGTAACTAGGAATTTTTGTGGTTTTGTTTTAAAATATATTATTGAATTTTGGTGGCATGTATATACATTTTTCCTCTATAAACAACAGAACAAATATTAAGAGATATATATTAAGAAAGAACAGGCATTCTATTAGGAAAACATTAACAGTAACAGTTGGATATGCCTGAATTTACTGAGCATTTATTATAATTATAATTTCTTGCTGATCACTTACATGGCATACCTCCTTAGTGTTTTGGACATAATGTGCTAATTAAATATCTGTAGGTTGGCTTTAAATATACCTACCTGGCCCTGGCCGGTTTGGCTCAGTGGATAGAGCGTCAGCCTGCGGACTCAAGGGTCCCAGGTTCAATTCCAGTCAAGGGCATGTACCTTGGTTGCGGGCACATCCCCAGTAGGGAGTGTGCAGGAGGCAGCTGATCAATGTTTCTCTCTCATCAATGTTTCTAACTCTCCCTCTCCCTTCCTCTCTGTAAAAAAACAATAAGATATATTAAAATATATATATATACCTACCTATACCTCAGACCAGATAAGGAGATTGAGCCCTGAGTAGAAAATGTACACATGCTGAATATGTGCCTTAATGCCCCTCCAACCCCTGTGTGTGTGTGTGTGTGTTTGTTTGTTTGTTTGTTTTTGCAGGCTTTAACGCCAAAAAGAAAAAGAAAGTGGCAAAGATATACCAGGCTCTGAACAGTGATCCCACTGATGTGGCTGCCCTTAGACGCATGGCTATTAGCGAGGGAGGGCTCCTAACTGATGAGATGAGACGAAAAGTGTGGCCCAAGCTCCTCAATGTCAACATCAATGACCCACCTCCTATATCAGGTAAGATGGGGAGTAAGTACTGTGAGGGGAGCTTATTTAGGAGGCAAGGAAAAAAGAATTTCAGAATCTTTGATTTTTATGCTAATGTCAAACCAAGAGTAGATGAGTAAATCTAAAGCATTGAGAATATGATTGGTCCAACTCGGAAAATAAGGCCAAACTAATAAGTAGAATTTTATTCAAAAATGGAATGAGCTTTTATTGGCTAGGTAGAGAAGTTTATTAAAAATGTATATTTCAACCCAGCTCCTGTGGTTCAGTGGTTGAGTTTTGACTCAAGAACCAGGAGATCAGGCTCAATTCCTGGTCAGGGCATATGCCCAGGTTTTGGGCTCAATCCCCAGTAGGGGTCGTGCAGGAAGCAGCCAATCAATGATTCTCATTGATGTTTCTATCCCTCGCTCCCTCTTCCTTTCTCTCTCTGAAATCAATTAAAACAGCGGTTTTCAACCTGTGGGTCGCAACCCCTTTGGCGGTCGAACGACCCTTTCATGGGTCGCCTAAGACCATTCTGCATATCAGATATTTACATTACGATTCATAACAGTAGCAACATTACAGTTATGAAGTAGCAACGAAAATAATTTTATGGTTGGGTCACAACATGAGGAACTGTATTTAAAGGGCCAGAAGGTTGAGAACCACTGGATTAAAACATCTCTAGCTGGTTTGGTTCAGTGGATAGAGCATTGGCCTGTGGACCAAAGGGTCCCGGGTTCAATTCCGATCAAGGGCATGTACCTTGGTTATAGGCTCCTCCCCGGCCTGGGCCCTAGTTGGGGCTTGTTCAGGAAGCAACCAATTGATGTGTTTTTCTCACATTGATGTTTCTCTCTGTCTTTCCCTTTCTCTCCCACTCTCCTTAAAAATCAATGGAAAAATTCTTCGGGTGAGGATTAATAGTAACAACAAAAAATAATGTATTTTTTTTAAAATGCATATTTCAGTCCATATTTACTTAGAGATGAGTTGTAGGAATATGTATTTTAATAAGCACTCCACCTAATTCTGATGTAGATGGACTACATTTTTGAGAAACAGGCTATGGGGAGAAATAATGTCTTTTTTTTAAAAAACACAAAAGCCCTAGCTGGTTTGGCTTAGTGGATAGAGCATCAGCCTACAGAGTGAAGGCTCCCGGGTTTGATTCCGGTCAAGGGCACATGCCCGGGTTGCTGACTCGATCCCCAGTAGGGGGTGTGTAGGAGACAGCTGTTGAGTGATTCTCTCTCATCATTAATGTTTCTATCTCTCACTCTCCTTTCCTCTCTGAAATCAATAAAAATACATTTTAAAAAAAACACACACACAAAGGAATTTTTATTGGGAAATATTATGCTCATTTTGGATTCTAAAATTCTGTAGTTCTGTGAAAAGCTATAACTTTAATCTGCAAGGCCTGTGTGGTAAAAGGAGTTCCTTGGAATATAGTGTAGAATACAGATAAAAGTACTATAGAACAATGAACCCATTTTGTCATTCACTCAACAAACATTTATTGCTTTATTGCTATGTATGGCAAAAGTCCGGCTCCTGGGGATTCTTTCACTCATTTGGCAGATATTAGTTGTGCTCCTGTTGTGTGCCAGATACTGGAGATAATTAAAACAGCCTCCGCCAGTAAAAGTTCACAGTGTCATAGTGCAGCCGAGTAGGTGTTAAGTTGCCACTTGTTTAATCTTTGAAGCTGGCTGCCTCAGAGCAGTAAGCCTTTTGTTGGAAGGGAAAGGCATTACCATGTTCACACTCTGAATCCTGAGATGGTGTTCTTCTATCAGATTCCAGATTTCCCCGATCTTTATAAGATGAAGTTTGTGTGGGGAAGTTTTGCACAGGCTCCTCTGTTAGCTTTTGATTTCGGTTTGTGAAGGAAATGTAGACTTGCTACACAACACTCAGTTTGGGTTGAGGGAAATGTGCACTTGTTATATATATATAACAGCTGGAGCCTGCTCCTTACATTCACACTGTGTTGGGCTTATCACCTGAACAGAAATACAATGTCCTATTTGCAGTGTGTTAGCTTTAGAATTTCTGGGTCAAGGGAAGTTAGGTTCTCCTTTATAGGAGTTTATCTTAATACTCCTTTCTGAACAGCTCAGTGCTTCCTAGACTTTACAGATGTTAGAGTTTTTTCAGTGGTCTATGGTTTCCACATTTATGATCTGATTTGATCCTTACAGTAACCTGAGAAGTATATTATCGAAGGGAACAATGCCATTTTTATAGATGTGGACTTTGAAATCCAGAGCAGTTCCCCAGGGATGCCACAGGAGGCCCCTGACTTCTCTGCAGCTTTTCCTCCTAACTCTGTTACCTCCTGGACAATGACCTCCTTCCTCTTAGGTCACAAGACTGCATGTTTGGAACTAAACTTGGGATTTATCTCCAATTGTTGTATTTTGAGTCATGTTCTTTTCAGGAAAATGCAGGAGTACGTCCTCCTGGCCTTTGGTGTAATACCACAATATTTTGTTCCTGATCTGGCTTCCCAGACATTCCTACAATGACATGTTCCTTTTCCTCCAATAGGGAAAAACCTACGACAGATGAGCAAGGACTACCAACAAGTGCTGCTGGATGTCAGGCGGTCCTTACGGCGGTTTCCTCCTGGTGAGAAGCTCTCTCCGTCCGTCTTGTTATATGGAGGTTTCTGTCCCAGTTGCACTTACTTTCTTGTGTTGATGCTTGCCAGTCCCAGGGAGTTTCCATCCCAGCACACAGTGTGACCTCATATCTATTCCCATTCTGCTGAGCCATTCTTTAATTTACTCCATCACACTCAGACCCCCACTGAAAGCCTGCACCAAAAGTAATTTCTCTTGGCCTAGAAGTGGTAAATGAGAGAAGTTTCTTCCCCCCTTTCAGAGCTACAGAAGAGGCTTCATAGAGCTTGCTAGAGCCATCAATCTGGCTTTAAAGAGCAGGTTGGTTTGAAAGTGGGCATTAACAAGAACTTTTTTTTTTTCAAATTCTTATTGATTTCAGAGAGGAAGGGAGAGGGAAAGAGAGAGAGAAACATCAATGATGAGAGAGAATCATTGATTGGCTGTCTCTTGCACACCCCCCACTAGGGATTGAGCCTGCAACTCGGGCATGTGCCCTGACCAAGAATCGAACCGTGACCTGGTTCATAGGTCGATGTTCAACTGCTGAGCCACGTTGGCCAGACTAACAAGAACTTTTAACATCTTCTTGGATTAGATTTATAAATAGTGATATCTTGCATATATGTGTATTGAGGTCCTTGGGCTAGAAGGGAGGCCATTCTCTGCATGTTAAAAGAGTTTATTCCTAAAATTGCCTCCCCATTCCAGGAAGAATGAGAAGAATGACCATTGTCTCCATTTTCACAATGAAGGCAATTGGGCAACCAACCGCATGCTTATGATCTATTTCTCTTCCTTTGCAACTCCACCTTTAGGTCCATGAAGAGAGGAGAATTGCTAACAGAAAATCAGTTTCCATGGCAAATCAGTGTGTCCCGAGAAATTTTTAAGGGGTTGAGGATGCAGCAGGGGGCGCAGTAGTCTGGGTGGAGGCTTAGCATGGTCCTAGAGATGTGGAGATGCCGGTGTCTGCAGTGAGGCCTGGGAGGTGGAGCTGTGCCAGGTACGGCTCTGGACCATGTTGGGGCAGACCTGCTGCTGCACCATCATGTTGGGGGATTTGGGGAGTGTGGCAAGACGGTGCTCCTTCGGGTGTTTGCCAAGGACACCTACCCTGGGAGTTATGTCCCCACCATGTTTGAGAACTACACTGTGAGTTTTGAGATAGACAAGTGCGCATTGAGCTCAACTTGTGGGATACTTCAGGTTCCTCTTACTGTGATATCGTCTGGCCCTGGCTTCTCCTGATTCAGACTCGGTGCTCATCTGCTTCCACAGCCAACCAGAAACACTGGACAGTGTCCTCAAGAAGTGACAAGGAGACTCAGGAATTTTGCCCCAGTGCCAAGGTTGTGCTGGTTGGCTGTAAACTGGACGTGTGGCCTGACCTGACCACACTGAGGAAGCTGTCCAATCAGTGGCTTATCTCTTACACATGAGCAGGGCACTGTGCTTGCCAAGCAGGTGGGGACCGTGTCCTACATTGAGTGCTCTTCCCAGTCCTCTGAGCACATGTCAGGGATGTCTTCCATGTAAGGACTCACACCTGGGACTGCAGCAGTCTGCTCAGCTGGCAGAAAGGCCAGACTGTGGGACAGGAACAGAGGCGAGATATACAAGAATTGAGCCAAGTGTTGCAACCTCATGTGCAGGGCCAGGGAGGAACAGAGTGTCAGGAGGGGTGGTGAAGGGCACAATTGTTCCTCTGCCCGCGCCTTGGCTTCCTGACCTCCTGACTCTGTCTGGAACTTCAGGGCAGGCTGAATGAGCACTTCTCTTAGGCAAGGGACCCAGAGGCAGAAAGGGTGCCACCATTCCCCATGTCTTCATACCCTCCTCTCCATAAGAAGTTGAGGGAGCTAGCAGGGCAGGCATCTGGGCCTGGAGCTGGGATAGGGCAGGGGCGTAGGGGAAGCTGGCATCGAGCAGTGACCTTGGTTGAGTTTCAGTATATGAAGGGTGCCTTCCCTCCCCACCCCCAGTCTCCATATCCGGGTTCAGGCTTCCTTCCCTAAGGAAAGTGTCCATTCCATGACCTTCCCTTTTCCTCTCCTCTCACTTCTACAGCTGTTCTCACTCAACCTCCAGGCAACATGCACTAATTAAAAAGCAAGTTGAAAAGCCCCTTCCCCTATAAATCCACCAGCCCTAGCTCCTCCCTCTCTTCCCCCAATAGCCCACAAATAAAACCCATGTCCATGGCAGGGGGATGTCCATGGCAGGAGAGGAGGATTATTTTTTAACATGCAATAACTGACTATTTAGTTAGGGCCACTGATCTCTTTTTTTCTTAGCATGTCAAATTTTAAAATGACAACAGCTGATACCACAAAAGCCATCTGGTGTGAATAAGTCAAAATTATACCTATTTTTGTGGGGGGGTGTCAGGTCGGCAAAAAATACAAAATATTTTAGTGATGCCTTTAGCAGAATTTTAGTAATTACTTTATGTGTGCCATGAGATAAAAAAAGATTGAAAATCACTGCTAAACCCATTGCTTCACTCTTCTGAAACCATGCTTTGGCTTGGATTTTGTGTTAAAGAAAGCTCTCTTTCCTGCTTACATCTTTGCTCCCTGGAGGGCTTCTTTTCTCATGTAGCCAGTGGCCTGCCAACTTGGTTTTTAATGTTTATTTTATTTATTTACTTATTTATTTTTATTGAGGTACTAGAGGCCCGGGGCACAAAATTTGTGCACGGGGGGGGGTAGGGAGGTCCCTCAGACTAGCCTGCACCCTCTCACAATCCGGGACCCCTTGGGTAGGGTCCCTAGGCCTGGCCAGCGATCAGGGCCTATTGGGCTTTCCTTCCCCTGGCTGCCAGCAGCTGGCCCCACCCCCGCTGCTGCAGCTGCTTGCCATCTGTGCTGCGCTGCTCCCCCGCCACCTGTTGCCTCCCTCTGTGGTTGACAGGCATGCGGTGCAATCGGTGCAATCGCTTGGCTGGCCTGTGCCTCCCTCTGTGGGGCAATCGATCGCGGGGCCCCCAGATAGATTGCTCCGCAGAGGGAGGCCCTGCCCACCTGGCCAGGGTTCTGCAATTGATCGCTGCGCAGAGGGTGACCTGGGCCTCACTCTGCAGGGTGATTGCAGAGCCCCCCCCGCCCCGCCCCCTGATTGCCCCAGTGGCCTGGGCCTCCCTCTTTGGGGTGACCGTGGGGCGATGGCAGGGCCCTCCTGACCAATTGCATCGTGCCTGCCTTGGCTGGTGCCAGTGTGTGTCATAGCGTGGACTTCTGGAAGGTCATCCGGATGGTTGTTCTGCTGTTTGGTCATTCGGTCGATATGCATATTACGCTTTTATTATTATAGATAGATAATTGGCATATAACAATATATTAGTTTCAGGTGTACAACATGATGATTCAGTATTTGTATATATCCAACTTGGTTTTAATGAAAACATATGCCATAGTCCAATCCCCATTTCCCTATCCTGTTACTTTGATTCTTTTTTTGTGTGGGGGGTTTGTTTTTTTTTAAATATATTTTTATTGATTTCAGAGAGGAAGGGAGAGGGAGAGAGAGATAGAAACATCAATGATGAGAGAGAATAATTGATTGGCTGCCTCTGGCACGCGCCACAGTGGGGATTGAGCCTGCAACCCAGACATGTGCCCTGACCGGAAATCAAACCATGACCTCCTGGTTCATAGGTTGATGTTCAACCACTGAGCCATGCCACCTGGGCTTATTTGTGTGTTTTTAAAAAATAACTTTTATTTAGGTTTTTGTGTTGAAGATCAACTTTTTAAAAAGAAATCTACACTGACATTTATTTTTTAAAAAATTTTTTTAATTTTTAATTGTAGTTGACATTTAATATTAGTTTCAGGTATACAGCATAGTTAGACATTTATATAACTTACAAAGTAATTTCCCTGATAAGTCTAGTACTCACCTGGCACCATACATAATTATTACAATATTACTGACTATATTCCTTATGCTATACTTTACATCCCTGTACTATTTTGTGACTACCAATTTGTACTTCTTAATCCCTTCATTTTTTCCCCTAGCTCCCTGGTAATCCTCCCATCTGGTAAACATCAGTTTGTTCTCTATGAGTCTATTTTTATTGTTCATTTAATTTTGTTTTTTGTTTTTCTTTGGATTCTACATATAAGTGAAATCATGTGGTATTTGTATTTCTCTGTCTGACTTATTTCACTAAGCATAATACCCAGCATGATCCATGTTCTTGCAAATGGTAAGATTTCACATTCTTTATGGCTAAGTAATATTCCATTGTATATATACCCCATATTTTCTTTATCCAATTGCTATGGACATTTAGGTTGCTTCCATATCTTGGCTTTTACATATGAAATGCCCTTCCTTGTCTCTTGTTTATAGCCTTTGTTTTAAAGTCTATTTTGTCTGATGTAACTATTGCTACCCCCAGCTTTTTTTAAATTTCCATTTGCATGAAGTATCTTTTTCCATCCCTTTACTTTCAGTCTCTGTATGTCTTTTTTAAAAATTTCTTTTGTTAATAATTCTTTATTCTTGAAAGTATTACATATGTCCCCTTTTTTTCCCCCCCATTGACCCCTTCACCCCCCCCCCCATGTGTCTTTTTAAAAAAAATACATTTTTATTGATTTCAGAGAGAAGAAGGGGGAAAGAGAGAGAGAGAGAGAGAGAGAAACATTGATGAGAGAGGAACATCAGCTACCTCCTGCATGCCTCCTACTGGGGATCAAGCCCGAAACTCTGGGTATGTACCCTGCCTGGGAATCAAACCAGCAACTTCCTGGTGCATGGGATGACGCTCAACCAACTGAGCCACACTGGCTGGGCTCTGTGTCGTTTGCTCTAAAGTGGGTTTTTGTTGGTAGCATATGTATGGATCTTGTTTTCTTCTCCATTCAGCCACCATGTCATTTGATTAGAGCATTTAATCCATTTACATTAAAGTAAATGTAAATGGATTAAATGTTCCAAATGACATAAGTATATAGTTTTAATAAATGATGGGTATATGGTTATTGCTATTTT